AAAAAAAAAAAAAAAAAAAAAAAAAAAAAAAAAAAAAAAAAAAAAAAAAAAAAAAAAAAAAAAAAAAAAAAAAAAAAAAAAAAAAAAAAAAAAAAAAAAAAAAAAAAAAAAAAAAAAAAAAAAAAAAAAAAAAAAAAAAAAAAAAAAAAAAAAAAAAAAAAAAAAAAAAAAAAAAAAAAAAAAAAAAAAAAAAAAAAAAAAAAAAAAAAAAAAAAAAAAAAAAAAAAAAAAAAAAAAAAAAAAAAAAAAAAAAAAAAAAAAAAAAAAAAAAAAAAAAAAAAAAAAAAAAAAAAAAAAAAAAAAAAAAAAAAAAAAAAAAAAAAAAAAAAAAAAAAAAAAAAAAAAAAAAAAAAAAAAAAAAAAAAAAAAAAAAAAAAAAAAAAAAAAAAAAAAAAAAAAAAAAAAAAAAAAAAAAAAAAAAAAAAAAAAAAAAAAAAAAAAAAAAAAAAAAAAAAAAAAAAAAAAAAAAAAAAAAAAAAAAAAAAAAAAAAAAAAAAAAAAAAAAAAAAAAAAAAAAAAAAAAAAAAAAAAAAAAAAAAAAAAAAAAAAAAAAAAAAAAAAAAAAAAAAAAAAAAAAAAAAAAAAAAAAAAAAAAAAAAAAAAAAAAAAAAAAAAAAAAAAAAAAAAAAAAAAAAAAAAAAAAAAAAAAAAAAAAAAAAAAAAAAAAAAAAAAAAAAAAAAAAAAAAAAAAAAAAAAAAAAAAAAAAAAAAAAAAAAAAAAAAAAAAAAAAAAAAAAAAAAAAAAAAAAAAAAAAAAAAAAAAAAAAAAAAAAAAAAAAAAAAAAAAAAAAAAAAAAAAAAAAAAAAAAAAAAAAAAAAAAAAAAAAAAAAAAAAAAAAAAAAAAAAAAAAAAAAAAAAAAAAAAAAAAAAAAAAAAAAAAAAAAAAAAAAAAAAAAAAAAAAAAAAAAAAAAAAAAAAAAAAAAAAAAAAAAAAAAAAAAAAAAAAAAAAAAAAAAAAAAAAAAAAAAAAAAAAAAAAAAAAAAAAAAAAAAAAAAAAAAAAAAAAAAAAAAAAAAAAAAAAAAAAAAAAAAAAAAAAAAAAAAAAAAAAAAAAAAAAAAAAAAAAAAAAAAAAAAAAAAAAAAAAAAAAAAAAAAAAAAAAAAAAAAAAAAAAAAAAAAAAAAAAAAAAAAAAAAAAAAAAAAAAAAAAAAAAAAAAAAAAAAAAAAAAAAAAAAAAAAAAAAAAAAAAAAAAAAAAAAAAAAAAAAAAAAAAAAAAAAAAAAAAAAAAAAAAAAAAAAAAAAAAAAAAAAAAAAAAAAAAAAAAAAAAAAAAAAAAAAAAAAAAAAAAAAAAAAAAAAAAAAAAAAAAAAAAAAAAAAAAAAAAAAAAAAAAAAAAAAAAAAAAAAAAAAAAAAAAAAAAAAAAAAAAAAAAAAAAAAAAAAAAAAAAAAAAAAAAAAAAAAAAAAAAAAAAAAAAAAAAAAAAAAAAAAAAAAAAAAAAAAAAAAAAAAAAAAAAAAAAAAAAAAAAAAAAAAAAAAAAAAAAAAAAAAAAAAAAAAAAAAAAAAAAAAAAAAAAAAAAAAAAAAAAAAAAAAAAAAAAAAAAAAAAAAAAAAAAAAAAAAAAAAAAAAAAAAAAAAAAAAAAAAAAAAAAAAAAAAAAAAAAAAAAAAAAAAAAAAAAAAAAAAAAAAAATTTAAAAAAAAAAAAAAAAAAAAAAAAAAAAAAAAAAAAAAAAAAAAAAGACGCAAAACTTAACGAGTGCCTACCCGACAGTCTCGAGAATATATAAAAGAATTATTTTGTCATAAAAATAAAAGGCTGGAATTATAAGGAAGAGTTTCAAAGTTCAAAGGAATACTATCCGATCGGTATATACCGGCTTGGGCGTCGATGTCGATGTCTCCCACACTCCGAAAAGTTTTGAATTGTTGCCCGAAGACAAGGAAAGTCCAATCAGTATTCGTTATTTTACGTCGCTTCTTCTTGTGTTTGTTATGTGGGATGTTCGTTATTCGATCATGTGTTCGTTGTCCGAACATAAAAATCTTTTGCGAAAGTGTTCGTTATCCGATTTGTTCGTTGTCCGATCTGTTCGTTAACCGATCACCCACTGTACTTTGTTATATTATATTAATATACTGAAAATGTTATATTTACTCCAGAAGTTATACTGGTATATTTTTTCTTTCATAAAAAGAAAACATTAGTTTTATAATTTTAGAAACTTAAATATAGAATGAATGGAGAAATATTGGCAATGTTTTGATAATAACCATATGACTCTTATTGTTCTATTCATAAGATTAATTTTTGAAGTTTCTTTTTTCAATCTTAATATCCATCATCTTGAATTTTTTAAGTACTATCAAAATATATCATCATTGAACTATGATATGCCTCAAACACGTAAAAGAGAATTTTAAAAGAGAAATGTGTCATTGTAGATATCATCTAACTTCATACATATAAAATTTTTTTACCCTTATCTTGATACAAGAATTAGAATATATTTTAATAAAATCTTATAATTTGTCAGACTTAACAGACAAATTCAAAGCATGCAATTTTGCATTTAGAATATTGACAAATTAAGTTATTTCAATATAACAAACTACACACACACTTTTATTTGAAACAGCTAATATTTTTATTACTTTCAAACTTCATTTTTTTACTTTACTTTGATGTTTATAAAGGCAAATAAAGAAATTTAGGTTCTTTTCTGTTAATAGGACACCAGTTGTAAAACTTTAATCTGATGCGCAATACCGTTGTCTGTGTCGCTCTGCTAAGACTCTAGCATTTAACTATTTAGCCCCTGTGACTCTGCCAGCTTCGAGTATCCCACTTGACTGTTTGTGGAATACATGATGTTATATAGATTTAAGGGGTGTAGGGGCTGCCCCCACCTGGGCTCTGAGATGTGAGCAATAGAAGCATTGAAGCACCTGACTACATTCTAAGCATTCTGGGGTGATGCAAAAGTTATTCAGAGCTTGAATCTTACCCATTGCTGTAAATATCAGCTGGTGTCCCATTAACAGAAAAGTACTGAAATTTATTTAGTTATATTTTTGCATACTATTTTTATGTATGAATATTTATTTACATAATATTCTCAAGTATATATGAATTGAATTCATATATACTTGAGAATATTATGTATGCTAATATTATGTATGAAATTGACACTAAATCGAATGTACAGTACAAGAAAATACAGTACGTAGTAACGAGGTTTAAACACGAGTCTGGTACTTGAAAGTCACATGATTTGGTGTCAAGTATATATGAATTCAATTCATATATACTTGAGAATGTAACATTGTGTAAATACTTTTTCCCATTCAAACCTCTTCTTCTCAAGTTCACAGCAGTTTATAATATAGGATTGATAAAATCATTTGAAAGTTCTCTCAATAAAAGAGAAAAATGTTTGAATAATAAAACATTAAAAAATTTAACTTTTCATAATAAGTTTTATTTGAACAGGGGAAAAACTTTAAAGCTATAGTTTATCTACCAAAAACCAAAATTCTCTTTCTTACATGAAGCATACAATGCCATCATCTTGTAAATGCCAAAAAAACAAACTTATCAAGAGAGATAAAAAACACTTTTCATAGTGAATGAATTCATTTCAATTTTACAATAAAATGGTAAAAAACTCACTATATTACAAATTCTCTAGAATATCAAAATGATATAAATGATACAATTATGCCCCTTAATAAATAATTTTTTTTACCTATTATATGATCATTTTAAATTAAAATCAGATAAACTTAAAATAGCAATTTAACATAATTTTATTCACAAGAAATATATAAAGATACATTTTTACTGTTAGAAAAGTGCTAAGAACAAGCAAACCAAGAATTAAGTCATATTTCAAAATGAATTTATGAAATTTTTTGTATTAATGAAAAATATTATCCACTCACTTTTACATATTAAATTAAAAAAAAATTTTTTAATATTTTTATTTCACATATTTTAAATTTTTTTCAAAGGAGAAAATCTGATGGCTTTTGATAGAATTTTCAAATGCCACAAACAGAGCCATCCAGAATCAGTGTGACCAGACATCCCCAATTTCCAGGGACTGTTCCCAGTTTTAATATTTAACTTAGAATCAATCTTTGAATATAGCAATTTCATTCACACCCCAATATAAGTAGGCAGTTTATTTTTAAGCTCCAATGGTCCATAAAAAAAAAGACAAGTGTAAATAACAAAATAAATTTATTACCAAAAGTTAGGTACAAACATGGTTACTTTTTGACATAATCACCGTGAAGATTGAGAAATTTGTCATATCTGTGGACGAGCTTTTCCATCCCCTTGTCATAGAATGTTGCCACCAATGACATGTGTGAAGACTTCCACCTCTTTCCTATACTGAAAATGTGGCTAACAGGGCAGAGGTTTGAGACAAATGACGGTCTTTAAAACAACATTGTTAAGGCAATCTCAACTCACTGGTGGCAACATTCTTGACAAAGGGACGGATAACAGATATGTCAAATTCCTCAATCTTCACGTGATTATGTCAAAAAGTAACCACGTTTGTACCTAACTTTTGGTAATAAATTCATTTCGTTATTTATACTTGTCTTTTTTTTTATGCACCATTGGAGCTTGAAAAAACTACCCTTGTAATAGCATCAATTTATAGATCAATAAATAAATAAATTTTTAAAAAATCAACAAAGTTCAATCAGTTTTAGACCCCATTTTCAATGAAATGTGTCCCTGGTTGGATTGTAAATGTCACAGTCAGCCTACAAGAAGGGAAGCTGAGGATTTCCCCCAGGGCCCATAATAGTTCTACCCCAATAAAATTAGCATTATATTTACTAACAAAAAAATCTTCAATACAAGGCTTTAAAAGGTGAAAGGGTCTACCCCCAGGCCTCATACAAGCTTACAATAGCCCTGGTCAAAGAAAAAATCCTAGTTAGAAAGATTCTACAATCCGACCTAATTAGAATATTTATATTATATTGATACACTTCATAACTTTTTAATTAAATAAAAAGAAAGTAAAGAGAAACCTCATTTCCAGTAAAATAAACCGGTGCACAGGATGGATCTTGCTCTTCGGCCATTCTTTCCTAGAATAAGCCTTTCGCAGATGTATATTTACTTATTCCAGCATTCTTTTTATTTAAATATTTCATAATTTTTTCATTTTATACCGAAAACTAAAACATCGCTACACAATTCGAGACCTCAAATCTAAAAACTTCTGGCTTCGCCTCTTCCGGAGTGCCCTCTACAGTTATGTTTCGTCTCCATTTAATATTAATGAAAATCTGACAAAAATTATTTCTAAACGATATAATAGAAAAATCGTTTAAAGGTAAATTAAATTAATTTCATCATATAATTATTTTAAAAATATTTATATAATTATTTTTGATTTTTTTATAAAATCTTTCGTAAAACTGCAGTATAATTTTCATTAGCGAGGTTGAGGCCGAAGTTTTTAAACGCGAAAACGTGTACGTCGGACGTTCAGCGCCGCTTTCCTGTAAGCCTAGAAGTTTGACAATGGTGTTTGGATAGTCAGTGGAATCATGCTCGACATTCCAAACACCATTGTCAAACTTCTAGGCTTACAGGAAAGCGGCGCTGAACGTCCGACGTACACGTTTTCGCGTTTAAAACTTCGGCCTCAACCTCGTTATTATTTTTCAGAAGATTAACTCAGCGGCAGGGGCTGGCCGCCCCGGGCGGCACTTTTTAGGGGCGGCAAAATTTCACAATAAATAATAATAATATCTTGTAAAAATTTGAACCATTCTAATCTATATTTGCGTCGCGCCTACGATAGCGCTATCGTCCGGACAGTCCGGGAATCGGCTCACCGTCCGAGTGAACTAGTAATTTCATCCGAGGACAGAGGCGGCGTAAGGCGTAGGCGACGTGGGCCACCGCCTACGGCCTCGCAGTCCGAGGGGCCTCGCGCCTCGAAGGTTTATGCATTACATAATTAAAAAGCCGAGAACGCAACGAAAAAATTTTACTCGTCATAAAACGATAAATATATTGACTTACCAAATTTGTTTTTATTTAGTCCAGCAACATTTGCTGGTGTTGCGTTGCTATCGCGGGGAATCCCCGCCAGCCAGAGCTGGGGATTTTCGATTCTGTTTGTTTACATTACTTTCACATTTATCAACGGCTAGAAAGCCAATAAAAGTATCGTACGCAGTCATGCGCCGTACATATGTGATATTATTTTGTATTTCTGACAGTATTTGATGTGATAATAAGTGTGGTTCATTGTTTGAAAACGATTAATAGTTATTAAATAAATAGGTAGTATCTATTAATCGGTCCTGCACTTTGAACTAAAATTAATAAAAACCATTGACCTACCAACAAATGGTTTTTGTTTGAAGTTTGCAGTTGCAAGTCAATGCTAAGTAATAAGGAAAGAAATGCTTTATGTTCAGAACTTTTTGAAATTTTGTTTGTGATGTGAAGAAAAACAACGTTACTTGTACTTATTTATTAACAATAAGATAAGGAATAATTACAAACATATTTTTATAGTTTTCTATATAAAATTATACGTTATATTATATTATTTGTTCTATATTTTTAATTTGCTGTGCTAGAATCCGACTTTTCCTTTACAAGTTTATTTTATTACGCATATATAGTGAAAGTAGTATAATATTTTAATCCGATTGTCATTCATTACATTTGTGGCTGTGCGCCATTTGTGTTTTGTAATACAGTACTATAATATTCGCGTATTTTATATTTTTCTTTTTCTCTTTCTCTCCTTCATAAATTCCATCCTTTGTTCTATCGTTTATCCTTTCTGGAATGTTCTTACTCAAACTTTATTCCCATACAGTCGACCCCTTTATAACGTGGGTTCCTATAACGGAAATTCCTATAACGTAGCAAAAAAATTGCGGCAGTATTCTTATAAAGGGGCTCGTAAAACGTCGTCGCCGACTCGTGTTGCGACAAGATTGGTCGAATCTGGACCAATAGTGGATGAGCAGCCGAACTACTTTCCGCCGTCCAGCGCCACGCTACGGAAAGTTTAGGCGGTAAATTGAGTTTGCTATCGTCTGTACAGTATTATATATAAATTAGATACTGTACATATAATTATATATTAATTATATATAAATTAGGTACTGTATATATAATTATATATNTATATATATGACTAATAGTAGTAACAAATTAACTTGGATACATTAAGTTGATATTCTCACACCCAAAGTTGCTAAATACACAAATTATGAACACCACAAAAAACTGGATAATATTAAAGAAACACAAATCAAAATCCCAGCAAAAAGTTAAAAACAAAGTTAAAAAAAGACATAAAATTCAAACATCAATTTTTTAAAATAAGGAAATGTCATCCAATCAATGTTGACGTAGCAATGTTGTTTAAATGAAATAATTATTATAAGACTTCAAACATCTTCACTCTTTCAAATTTTATTTGTAAGCTAAAGATGATTGCTTAAAGCTATCAAAAACATTTGTTTGTTTATTAAATTTACAATTTTTTGCTGGTGATTTGGTTTTGGTTTGTGTTTCTGTAATATAGGTTAATACATCAAATTACATTTTGCAGATAATACATATTTTACAGAATAGCCTTATTTGTTCTCTCCTTTTTTCTAAACTGTTATTCACCAGTGGCAGCTTATTATTTAATCTTTCTTCTCTATAATATTAAACTACTGTATATAAAAAGAATAATGTTATTTATATTTCAATATAAATTACTAAAGAATCCTAATCAGCTACTTTATAGATATTCCTTAAAAATTAAAAGAATCTCCAGAGTCTCAAAATGACAAATAGAAGATCACTACCAAAAGCAAGACTAAGTATAAGAAAAAATCAATTTTATTCAATTCAATTGAAATTTAGAACTTGGCACAATTACAATAAAAATATAAACAATTACAACAAAATGAAGAGGACATTAAACACTATGAAATCACAAATTTTAAGAGCTACATAATTTTTAATCAAGATTTTTTGTTTTCGGTTGTTAATATTTCTTAAAAATGAATCCCAAAAGATAATACTGTATTCTGAATTTCTCATTCATAAACTGTTAAAAATGTCTTTGAAGTTTCTCCAATTTGTTTTTTTTTTTGGTTGTTGTTTTGAACTATTATATATAAGAATACTCAATTTTTCATTCCTCTGACTCTCTTATTAAATATTCAGTTTTTTTTTAATTGTAAATATTTATTATAAGCAAATGATAATTTTCTATATATTTTAAATATATGTAATTTTTACAATGAATTTAAAATACATATATTAAATATATGTACTTTAATAAAAGTTACTGACTTCTTGCTATTAACTACAGGGAGTAGTTAAATTTAACAGAATATTTATTAGATGATCTATAATAACACATCTTTCTAGCATAGTATTTTTTTATAACCATCTTGAAACCTGATGTTATTGATCCATCTTGAAACTTAAATATTTAACTTCTTTTTTTCCTAAATATTACAGCAAGAATTAGTTTCATTAAAAGATAGGCAATAAATAGTAGAAAATTTATCTTTCACTAGTAATCAAATACGTATTGCTGATATTTTTTTAAAAAAAATTATAGACATATAAGTTTAAAATTTCAAAAATTAAATAAATTTACACTTGTGGATGTAATATCACATCTTAATTCTTTTAATTTTATTACATTAAATTTATAAAACTAATCATTTTTGTATTTTATTATTTATAATCATTAGCTAAATAAAAATTTGATTGTTTTAGTCAGTGTAAACAAGTAATAAATTTTCTATTTAGATATTATTATAACATATATACAGTGGGTGATCGGTTAACGAACATAATCCGTTCCAAGACTTTGTTCGCTATCCGAATTGTTCGTTAACCGATTATCGATTCACCATAGGTTTTAATGGGAATTTAATTAATTCATTCTGGAGACTCCTCAAAATAAAAAATATATACTTTCTTTCTACGTTTATTTATATGTAATAATAAAAATACATGTATACACAATCTTGCATTTTTATTAGTCATGTTTTTTCCGTTTGAAAGGGTTAAAGAATCTGTCTAATGTCGATTGCTTTTCTCTCATCTTCAGGATTTTTCCTAAGTAATTAATAGCATTGCAATTGTAGAAATCCCCAAGCCTCAACCTGGTTTGGATGCCATTCTAAGACNAAAAAAAAAAAAAAAAAAAAAAAAAAAAAAAAAAAAAAAAAAAAAAAAAAAAAAAAAAAAAAAAAAAAAAAAAAAAAAAAAAAAAAAAAAAAAAAAAAAAAAAAAAAAAAAAAAAAAAAAAAAAAAAAAAAAAAAAAAAAAAAAAAAAAAAAATTTAAAAAAAAAAAAAAAAAAAAAAAAAAAAAAAAAAAAAAAAAAAAAAGACGCAAAACTTAACGAGTGCCTACCCGACAGTCTCGAGAATATATAAAAGAATTATTTTGTCATAAAAATAAAAGGCTGGAATTATAAGGAAGAGTTTCAAAGTTCAAAGGAATACTATCCGATCGGTATATACCGGCTTGGGCGTCGATGTCGATGTCTCCCACACTCCGAAAAGTTTTGAATTGTTGCCCGAAGACAAGGAAAGTCCAATCAGTATTCGTTATTTTACGTCGCTTCTTCTTGTGTTTGTTATGTGGGATGTTCGTTATTCGATCATGTGTTCGTTGTCCGAACATAAAAATCTTTTGCGAAAGTGTTCGTTATCCGATTTGTTCGTTGTCCGATCTGTTCGTTAACCGATCACCCACTGTACTTTGTTATATTATATTAATATACTGAAAATGTTATATTTACTCCAGAAGTTATACTGGTATATTTTTTCTTTCATAAAAAGAAAACATTAGTTTTATAATTTTAGAAACTTAAATATAGAATGAATGGAGAAATATTGGCAATGTTTTGATAATAACCATATGACTCTTATTGTTCTATTCATAAGATTAATTTTTGAAGTTTCTTTTTTCAATCTTAATATCCATCATCTTGAATTTTTTAAGTACTATCAAAATATATCATCATTGAACTATGATATGCCTCAAACACGTAAAAGAGAATTTTAAAAGAGAAATGTGTCATTGTAGATATCATCTAACTTCATACATATAAAATTTTTTTACCCTTATCTTGATACAAGAATTAGAATATATTTTAATAAAATCTTATAATTTGTCAGACTTAACAGACAAATTCAAAGCATGCAATTTTGCATTTAGAATATTGACAAATTAAGTTATTTCAATATAACAAACTACACACA